GAAAAATGTAAGTTTTTAATCAATATAAGCTCTGTCCTTGGACAGAGCCAGGCCAGATTTCTGTTGAACAGCATGACCCGACTGCCAAATCAAGGGGCTTCCAGATTGATATCAAGAGACCCCTGCTACATCTTATGGGGGTCAAGGCACTTCAGCCATGAGCCTTTTCTCCTTGTGGTTTCTCATTCCAAAATCAGGCAAGCTTTTGCAAGCCTGAGTGATCCCTTGCACACAAAATGCCCCACACTTGCTTGTTTCCCATCATTCATTTCTGCATTAGCCCAAAAACTTGTTTTGCTTTTGTCACTGCCTGCATTTTGAAGTACACTGGGCCCTGAGCTCACTGGCCTTCCTTTTGCTTGACTCTTGTTACTCTTTCCTCTGGTGGAGAAGCCAGTGTGGTGAAGAACTGCTGCCACCAAGGCTGCTGCCCCTTCTCCTCACTCCCCTCACTGGCTGTGCTTCCCTGGGTGCCAGGCTCCCAAAATGAACTGCAAGGGTCATGGCTTGTCACTTTGGCTGCTGAGCAGGAGAAGAGAGATGATGTAGAAAACACTGGAAAAATGGAGGAACTTAACTAAGGTGTCACGAGGCTGTGCCCTGGCCATGTCCAGAGGGACAGGGACCATCCGTGCCTGCACAGTGGTGGGGCAGAGCACAAGGTGCTGGCAGTAAAAATCCTCTCAGCTCTTATCATAAGGGGATCAACGACCCAGCGTGCACACAGCTCCTGGCAAACCTCCTGAGGAAAGGCTGCCTCTCATCATTCCCACACAGTGCATTTGTACTAGACTCTGAAGGAGACCTTTTTCTGCCTTAGTGACTTGCAGAGATCTGCCTCACTTGGTTGCCACTGTGGCACAAGGTTGTTGGTGCTGCCTGTAAGAGCCTGGAGCTGTTCTGCTGCTCCATCACCTTCCCAGAGCATCCAAGAGGGGCAGCCCTGCAAGGTCCTCACAAACTGCATGGCATCTGGGCTGCTGCCTTCAGCTCCAGGGGTGCCTGCAGATCCCTGGGACACATTTATGCTTTTTACAAGCTGGGAACATTGCCCATAGCTCAACAAGACGTGGTGACAGCTCTCACAACCCAGAGCTCCAGCCAGGATCTTTGGATGCATCTGGGTTAGCACACAGATCACAGCCTCATGCTGCAGAGCTTGCTGAGGCTGAGGAAGGCGTGCAAATTTGATGTGACTTTAGTTTTCTACGGGGTTTGCAGCCACAGAAAAGATACCTTTATGGCAAAGTCACATCCCATCAAAATCACCAGAAGTGGTGTGGAGAGCAGGGCCCACCTTCAGGTACCTCACAGCAAAGTCACTTTGGGTAGTGCTGGCACTAGGGTGGCTCACCAGGAGGAGAAAGGCAGCCCAAGAGAGGAGTGCCAAGCCAAGTTGCCTTTAACAGCTCATCTCCAGACTCAGGGTGAGGTCTTGCTTTTTTGTCCCTTGAGTGAGAGCATGGTTCATGGGGAAGGAACCTTCCCAGCCTCCTTGAAGTGAGGAGGAGCATGGTAGCAGGGCATGGCTTCCAAGAAAAACTTCCAGGTTTTTTCTTGCAGACAGTCAAGAAATTCTGACTTGTGTGGCTTTGCTGTAAATTTAAGTCTCAGTTCTTCCTGTGATGGGCATGGGGCATTTATGCAGGACATAAATAATAGACAGTCTCTTGTATTCCCATTCATAAAAATACAACGAGGAAATTGTTATTTTCATTCAAGTAAGAAAAAAATTGATAAAATAGTATGATAAAGTAGGCTTGCAAAGCTAAGGACTTAAATGTGAGCTTATACTTGCCCAACCTTCATTCAGCCACTTGCATGGATGCAGCACAGCGCTGCCTGTGCTCACCCAAACAAGTTCTTTTTTTCACAGGACTCTGTCCCATACTCAGTGCAAAGGACACATGATACTCAAGCTAACAATGAGGATGTTGTAATAAATAAGGCTGTTTTTATATGGTCAGAATTAAATATTAAACCACAGTTTTGGCAGGAGGCCACAGTCTGTACATTCCTAATTTTGTGGGTGCCCAACATGAGACCCTAGGGGCCATTTTGCAGAACTGCTGAACACTCACAGCTGTTTTCCAAAATGCTGGCAGCTTAGCCAGCAAACTGGTACAATCTCAAGGGCTCAACAGCACTGAGAGCCAAGAGGTCCCAGGCCCTTGTCCTGCACCTGCTGCTCCTTCCCTGTGTGGCTAAAAAGGGAAGTCTCTTTTCCCTTCAAAAGCCAGGAAAACCACCATTCTCTCTTGCCTCATCAGGAGCATAAATTCTGTACAGGCAACTGTAGCTGCTAACATCTCCAGAACAGCATAAGACAATGCATAGTGATGTATTGCCTGCAGGGCTTGCTTGGCAGGCAGTAAACAAATAAAAGAGACACACATTTTGCAGTACCAAAAAAAAAAAAAAAACCAAAAGAAAACAAAAAAACAGAGCCCCCTGCTTCACTCCTTGAGCACCATGTAGCCAAGTACTCTGAATGAAGCAGCTCATGAAAATAGTGTGTGATCCTACCAGTCAGGACTGTAACCCAGTGTAGTGGCACACTGCCTCCAATACCAGTATTTCCTAACTTTCAACTGCTTGTCTTTGAGATATTAATAATATATTTCACATAATCCAACCCCTCACAGATGAAGCAACTTTTCCTTCCCTGTCTTGAGTCTGGAATTGAACTAGTTTATAGAGAAAAAATGCACATCTTCATGCTGTTATCATCCTTCCAATCACAGAAAGCTTTTTTGTGAGCCAGCATTTTGGTAAAGCCACAGCAGAATAGGGTATGTGTGACAAGGTATTTCCCTGCAGCAGGAGGAACATCCCAGAACTCCCACTGCTGCTTCTTTCCAGGCAGAACTGAGCGTGTGTCATGGTGTAGCATGCTGAGGCACTACCCCGCTGGCCGGAGCATCCCAGTATGGTCATCTGAGCTCTGGTTTGAGCCACCCAGGACTGGGACACTTGTCAAGCAGTGTAAGCAGCTGCTTGTAACCAAACATGGCAAGTGAAGGAAACTGCCTGCCCTGTCTTTTGACTCAGCAACAGGCAAAAGTCACGGAAGAACTAGCCAGAAATGCCCTCCCACAGGCTCGAGCCTCTCCCCATCCTGTTCCAGGCTCTGTTGCTCCCTGAATGCTTCTGTCCAGGTATCCTTGTGGCCCTGTGCTGACCCTCCCAGCCCTACTGACACACAGCTCTGCCTTCATCAGGCTTCTGTGGTGCAGAAAAGCCTAGAAAATCCTTTCTGCATCAGGCTTAAAAAAATGCCAGAGGAAGGGCAGGAAGCTGGAGTGACTCTTAAAGATGTCTGAGCTGAGAGTGCACCTTGCTAGCATGTGGCATTCACTTTGCTGGAGGAAAGGGTAAAGCTATGATCTGGTATAAAAATTACATAAGAAGGCTTCCTCCCTTTCTCTTTGCAAGCAGCCCCTTTGCTCAGGGTTTGCCATAATTCCTCCAAGTGGACAGGATGCACTAACAGAGGCAGCACTGATGTCTGACAGGGAGACAACTCCCGCAAGCCTTTCGCTCATGTGGAATAATTCCCTTGCAAATGTTGTTTGCCCACAGCAGTTAGAGGAAAATCCACCCCTGCCCCTCCCCACAGATTTGAGCCACAAAGCTCAGAAGAAAAAATGGTCTGCAGTTCTGGAAAGGCTCCCTTCTCCTCGCTGCTAGGAAGGTCCCCTGCTTTGGGACAAGTCGCTGTCTGTGTTCAAGGGTTCCCCCCTCTTTTAAGGGTTTCCTTCTCCTGCAATAGCAGCAGCTTTGGTCCTTCCCCAAATGAGATCTGAATTTCTCTCTCCACCCTTGAGTGGCAGGTCAGACTCTGGCAGCAGAGCAGTGCTGTATCCTGCCCACTGCCATTCCCATCAGGGCTGTGCTGGATGTGGCACATTCAGGTTACCTGACGGTCCACGTGGTGGGCCTGGGGCCCAGCTTGGCCATGACCTGCTTGGAGCAACAGCTTCAAACACCCTCTCTCCCCAAATCAGGAGAGCTCCAGTTTAACATGTCACCCTTAATTAGCAGGAGATGCAGGGACAGTAATAAACTGGTCAGGCAGAGGGAGGAGGAGGGGGCAGCATGCCCTGTGTGGGATGTGTGTGTGTGTGCACGTGTCTGTGCATGTGTATGTGTGCACACAAACACACAGACACAGACAGGCTAACACTGACATGTAACTCCTGTCCACAGCGTGCTTCTCCTCGGCTCGTTTGGGACCTCATTCTCACTCTTTCCTCCCAGTCAGGGCTGGAAAAGGCTGTGAAGCTTCTCTGTGCTGTTTCATCCACCCTCCCCAGTGCTCTTCCTTCCACCCAAAAGTTCAGAAATCACAGGCTCAGCCTGCAGAGATGCTGAAAGCAACTCGGGACTTATTTTTGGCTCTACTTGTGATTTGGCATGCTTTACTTGATGTCCTGTGGTCATGTCCATGAGCACACACCCCCACACACTTATCCACATCCACCCCCCATTCCTAAAGCTGTGCACCGAGTGCTGAACCTCTTCGATTTGGGTCCGTACTTCTCCATTTTAGGGTGTTCTTACTGAGTCCAAAATGATAGCCAGCAAAGCCATCACAAGTCAGGAGGGTGGCACCTCTCATGCTGACCCTGTGAGAGCCCCGGGGAGCAGACAGAAGTCAGGGCTCACCAGGAGCTCCCAGGTACGGGGTGACCCCAGCTCCGAGTGCTCAGCCTCAGAGGCGCCCCGGTGCTGCAAGGAAAGCTGCCGGTGCTGTTCTCAGCCGGGAGAAGTTGCTCCCGCCCGGCTGCCTGCACTGAGGCTGGGCTGGAAGCAGCAGGAACAAGCTCTGCAGCAGGTTTGCCGTTCCCCTGTCCGTCTGTCTGGCACAAGGGAGCCTTTGAGCCGCCCGCCCTGCCTGCCGCCCCCTCCCCGGGGGAGCCGCTGCCTGCGGGGCAGCTCCGCTCGCCTCGCTTAGCCGGGGATGGGGGCAAATCCAAAAGGGAAACGGCTTTGCTTACCTCTCTCAGGCTGGAATGGACCCTCCTGTGAGAATGGCAGCTCTCCCGGCTCTCCGAACCCGGTACAATCCCAAAGCAAATCCAGCAGAAAGTGCCTCTGTTCTGGAGCCTAGCTGGCAGGAACCCTCCCTAGCCAGCCGCTGGCCTCGCGTGGAGGGCAGGGGAGCCGCAAAGCGAGATGACAGCGTGGGAAAGGGACTGTAATCCTCCGTAAATAATAAATAGGGGGAGAGAGAAAGAGAGAGAGAGGCGGGAGAGGGAGCGACTGTGCGCGGTGAAGTGACAGCTGGGGGTACATCTGCGATGGCAGCAGCACACGCACAGGAACGCGCACAGACAGTGCAGAGGAGTCACCCCGCCAGGCAGGCAGGATCTGCTCCCAAACACCCAGAGGAAGGAGCTCGGGAGGTTTTCATTCCTCCCAGTGCATCCTGGAGAAAGGGCAGCTGCTGTCAGTCCCTCTCTCTCCCTCATCCCGCCCTTGCTGCCATCCCTCTCCGGGTGCCAGGAGCCCAGGGGCTCGAGGAGGGCTGGGGAGATGCCAGGGCGGGAGGAGCTCCCCACAGCCCCTGAGGAGGTAGATTGGTCAGGCACAGGTTACAAGAGAAAGCACCGAGCTGAACAGTTCCTCCCCTCCCTCCATCTCGCCCCTGCTGCCGTTGATGACAATGAACTCAGAGAGAAAGGCATCAGGATGAAAAGGGACAAGCCCTGGCTTTTGTATAGGAGTAAGGAGCGATGGGGATACAGCAGGGGAGAACCTGGTGGGCTTGGGAGAAAGGCACCCCCTTCCCACCCCCCTTCCAGGGCTCCAGAGACAGTGGTGGGGAGGCATCCAAGGGGGAGACAACCGAGGTGCCTGCCGTGGGCAGCACAGCCCTGTGCCTGTTTTCTTAGGGATTCAGGGGAAATTTGAGGGGTGCTGTTAAGGGGTAGCTGGGACGAGGGGAATGGGTGAAAGATCCACAGTTTGTTCCCCTGAGCTTTGGGTGCAGCAGGGAGTGTGTTGAGCCATAGGTGCATGCGTCAGGTGCCGTGACATCCATCAGGGACAGCCATTCCCTGCCCTCCCTGACAGCACCTGCTGGTACAGGGATGCAGTAAGCAGCAAACCCAGCCCACTACCACCATTGGGATCTCCTCTGTGCTCTCCCACGGGCTGCTGTAGCCTTACCCCCCAAAATCAGCCCTCCATCTTGCCTTCCTCCATCTTGATGAGGACCTCAGTAGCTCACATTTGCAAGAGTCACTGTTTTGTTGATCTACTTAAACTGCCCCTTCTGTCAGGTCCAGTATCATAAAACAGGCTGATTTGGGCTTTTTGTTCATTTTAATGTGTCTGGAAGTGAAATTTTTTGTGAAATTTTTAGAGGACTCAAAGTAAAATTTCAAGCTAGTAGCTCAAGAGGGAAAATAAGAATATTTCAGAAATAGGGACTAGAAAATGCAAATGGATGGTACAGGCATGGCTGTTCTGCTGTTCTGGTACCTTCCAGTTGAATCACAGTTTTATGTAACCATTGGACCAGCTACCATGAAAACAGGTTGTGAATGGCAAGGTAAACCTTGGTAAGCACTCTACAGGATGCAATCTTGAGACTTTGTTGTGCCTTTTTATTGTGCAGCAGGCCCAAGAATTAAATCTTGGGGAGAGCTCCTTATGTGAACAACATATGGATAATCAAAGAGAGAAGCCAGAGACTGCAGACAGAAAGAGGGGCAAGCAGAGGATGAGCTAATGAAGCAGGCATGCTCAGCACAGGGGTGAGCAGGTGGAGGGGAAGGCTCTTCTCTCCACGGTGAACAGCAGTGCACAGCTCCAGGGAAGGCCCAGGAGCTGCAGCCATGGCTCTGCAGGCAGGGTGGGGAGAGGCAAGAGGTGCACAGCTCTGGGTACCATGCCAACATGGTGATGCCTGTCTGTGCCAGGTGTTCAGCTTGGCTGTATTGCATTGCTGGGCTGCTGCAGTGGCACAGTACATGTGAGTAGGAATAAAACTTTTAGCCATGGTCTCTCTGGGGACTCTGCAGCAGCCACTCATCATTTCATGGACCTCAGATCTTCCTGCTGATGCAGTGTACCCTTTGCCACCAGAGCAAAAAGGCTCATTAACAATCAGTTGTTCTTTGGAGCAATCGCAGAGGAGTTTATTCCCGTTTTTTCCCTGTCACTTGAGCTATAGCATCATCCTTATCTCAGACTGGATCACTGCTTTCCTCCTTTCTCCTTGACCTCACCAACAGTATGAAGACACACAGATGACTATTTGTTACTAGCACTGAGGGGGGGGTTCATTGTGATCCGCTTCTCCTCAGCTCCCATGTCTTACTCAGGTCCCCCAAATGTGTGAAAGTTTCTCACAGTTCTTGCCAGCAGCTGCCACTTTCTGTCCCTGCCACTGGCCACCAGGCTGACCCCACAGGTTTTCTTCTCCACCATGTTGCAGGCAGCCCTGTCCAGGCTGGGTATGTGCTGCTTATGCCTCCTGGGCAGAAGCAAGGATTTACAACCAGGTTCTAAAACCTCTCTGAAGAACAATTTGAGGCCAAGTGTTCCCAGTGGCCAAAACACTGAGTAAGTCTGCATTGCAAGGTTAGTTATGTAGGTATCGACCCCTCTTCAAGCCTCATGAAAACTATATGTCCTGGGTAATACTCAGTCCCATTGATGTGATCTGCTGTGCTAAGGGGAAGGACTCTTTCTTGAGCTGGTTTGAAAGGATGAATTTATTTAAAGCTGTGTACCAAATTGGGTGCGTGGGCCTCATGGGACTCAGCAGCAACAGCACCGCTTGCCTGCTGTCATGGCGTGTCGGTTTGTCAGCAGGCACCAAGCCAAACCATGCCTGCCACAGCCTTGCTGAGGCTGGGGAATCTTCACCCAGGCCAGACTCAGCCCTGTCCTTCCTCCTGTGTTTGCATTCTTTGTCCTGCCTGGTTTGTGTTCTGCGAGGCTTAGGGCAGTGCAGCTCTAGAGAGTCATTCCTTTCCCCCACAGACAGGCAGTCAGATTCAGTTTACAGCAGGGAGAGCTGGATGAGAAATGTGCCTCTGATAGATGGGATTGGTAAGATGTACCAGCAGTAGGAATGTGACAAGGACACTGGTATAAAACACAGAGCTGATGCCAGGTGCTAGGGTCTCTGTACATGAGGCAAGAAAATACACCATTGCATACTCCAGTTTTAATTCATCCCCATTTGAATTAGAGCATCAGATCACACTTTTAGCTTAAAAGCACCCACATAGCATGATTCAGATTTAAAGGATCTGTTCCCCCTTTGAAGCTCCTTTTAATTCAGAGGAAATCTGTAGAAACAGCAATACTTCATCCTCCTGATATTGGTGGTTGTGAAAAAGGCCCCAGATCTCCCTCCCTGTATTACTTTTTCTCCCTCACTTGCACTTTATATTCTATTTCAAGGTCCTGCTTGAGGCTGTAATTCCTCCAGAGCTCTTGGATTCAATTAGTTGACACACAGCCCAGTTGTTCCCCATCACCACGGCAGGCTGTGCACGACTGCCCTGGTTATTGTGTGTGCTTGTAGGCAGCCAACCCAGGGACAGCCAGCTTGTCCTGTCAGGGAGACCCTGCACCCTTCCTTCTCCTCTGCAACTCTGCCTTAATTCAGGAGCATGATGCTAGGAATAGAAGGGAAATTAAGCCAGGAAATTAGGACACACTTCATTAAGAAACACACATACACACAGAGTTCTGCTTAGCCCACCTGCACTAGGCTGGGACCAGGTAACAAATCGCTATTCGTAATCGACTTCCTGTCAAGTGGCATTCATTATTCTGTGCTTTTGTAGTGGCTTAGGAAAAACCTAAATCTCTGTGCTTCCCCCTTGAGACAGGTGGGTTTTCAAATTAATCCCTTCCTCACTGGCCTACTTTATTTCTGATTGATGCTGTGTGGTATAAGAGTTGAGGCTGGGGCGATCACAAACATCCGTAAAAAGACAAAGGCAAAAGCTCATGCCACCCTGGGGGGGCCTTTTGGGGGATTTTTTTATTTTTTTTTTTTGGTGGTGTTGTTGTTGATCTGTTTGTAGCTTCATAGTGTTTAGTGTGAGGGAAATCTCAGTACCTTGGTACAGTCAGTGTCCCCTTTTCCTCTCCCTTGTTAAACCTCTGACTCTCACTTGGCAGTCTGACTCAGCGCTCACCATTCACACTTGGAGGCAGGTTGCAGTTGTGGTTTCCATCCCATCACCTTGGGCAAATATTTACTCCTCTTTTCCCGACTTGTATTTGTCTTTAATGCTCCTCTTTTGATCCTCTCCTTTTTTGTTGTTCCCTGCAGCTGTGGGTGTGCAAATAAAGCTGGATTTGCTGCAACGCAAGTTTTGGATGGCCATGCAACAGGTAAGAGCATCAGCAGTCATGCAGAGACACAATTTAGTGCTCTTTGTCAGCAAGGTCAATGCTATGTTACATCACACATGATGGCATTTTAATGAGGGCTTTTGTGGAATTCATATTAAAAGATTTATGAAGGAGATTAGTTTGAAGTCACACATTTCTGTAATCCTTTGACAGCACTAATGCTGTGTGAGCCATGAGTCTGTTCTGCAGATGCCGTGGTGACAGTGTCAGCATCCTGGCCTGGCATTAGCTGTGCTGCATGTGACACATTTAATTGTGGAAATATGCTTCTGCTCATTCAGCCTTTCAGAAGACTCATGGAAATCTGCAATTTTGGGCACACAGAAAAAAAATCTACTGCCTTCTCTTATCATCTTGATAATGATAACAAAACGCTGCCAGCTTGCCAAAATAAAAATTATTTGCTCCAGGGATAAGCTTTTGATGTTGTCCTAATATTAGATACTCTTCTGGACTGAAGGAAGTGGAATAATTAAAACAACTCCCCTGGTCTGGGGAGCAAGACAAATGAAACACCTTTCCCCCATCACCTAGGGGCTTTCTTCCCAGGCTTTGCTTTCAGGGGGTGTGCTGGAGGGGTGAGCATGACAGGACTGCAGCAGCACACAGCAGAAGCAGCTCTCTGCTGTCAGGAGAGGGAACTGTCATCACACAGGGATGACAGAGAAGGTGGGAGGGCAGGAGCATCCTCGCAGGTGGGGATCACATAAACCTAACCTGAGCTAAAAAGATTTCTGCAAAGCACATGAGCGATCCTGAAACAGCAACAGAGAGCTTCATTTTAAACACCCTGCTCAGGGCCATAGCCAGGCAGCTCTCACACAAACAAGCCCTCATGGGTGTTAAGTGGAGCTGGGAGGCCTTATGAAAGCAGGTGAAGGAGGCCTGTGTGCCAAGTGGCTGTGAGCTGTGGCCCTGGTAGGTGCTGGTGTGAAAAAAGGCTCCATGTGCTTTCCCAGGATGTGAGCACTGTTGGACAGAGGAATGACTAACAGATTTTGTTTTCTCTCTCTCTCCTGCCTCACTGATGCTGTGCTGCTCTGGATGTCCACGCTGTGCCTCCCAGCCCAATGACACTGATGTAAGTGGACAAAAGCTGGGGACAGGGAGGCAT